ATAAGGCATGATGTAACTTGGGGACATGACCACAGTCCTCTTGTCCATGTCCCTCTGGCATAAAAAAAATAACAGTGAATGATGCTAAAAATACTTGGTCAGGAAATTTTTTCCTACAATTTTAAATTGTTCTTAATATTAACTTTTGTGCCCTAATAACTTATACTTATTTTCATAGCATATCCAGTATATCCCATTTATGTTAGTGGTTAGTTTTAATTTTTCATGAAAGAATGTATTCCCAATTTAAAAAATAAACTTTTTAAAAGATTATTTTGTCTAGAGGAAATGTTAATATGCCATTTGACATATTAACTTACAGCTTTGCCTCGACTGAAATAATTCAGCAGAAATGATAGTCATGCTGTTGAGACAGTGAACAGTAAAGCCATTTAGAAAATTAGACTGTGATTCTGAAGGCATATTGAAATTTAACAAAATTAGAGTAACTGTAGTGCAAAAAAAGTTCCTAAATGGTTTTAGGGGCTGGCTGGTTAAGAGTGTGGTGTTATACAGGTCAAGGGTTCGGATCCGCATACTGGCCAGGAGCCAAAAAAAACCCCCAAAACCATAAACAAAAAACTAAATTGGGTACTTTTGAACTGAATAATCATCAAGGGCGATGATTCTATAATGGTAGTCAGATAATGTAAACGGCACGAGTTCAGATTTTGTCTAACCTATTTTTTATACGGGCTGAATAAAAAGCCTTTTTTAAATCTGTAAGTTGTTTTCCAGACCTCATCTCAAGATTTGAGGAAAAAGTTGTTGAATCATTCTCTGAAAATAAAGACCGATTGTTTGAACTATATGAAATGAGTAAAATCTTAAGTGTGTGCATATCGCCACCGCGTGGCAGAGAAAAGTATTGTTTGTATAATTGCTTAGAGCTACTGGGAAAGAGAAAATAAAGGCGACATTGTTTCATAGTATATCTCTTTATAGCAACTGTAAGCTAACTACTTACTGGTCAAACTTTTCACTGAATGTTTGGTACATATTGACCAACTGTCCAAACTAAAAAATTCATCAGCTTCACTCACCGTTGTAGAGATGTAATTTAATCTTTCTTCTGTTAATTAGGTGGCCTTTTATTCTTATCGCTGCTCCCTTTAATTTCTTTTGTCTGTATTCTTCCTTTTTTTTTCTTTTTTGTGTATATGCTTCTTTTTTTTTTTTTCCTTTTTGTCTTTTTTCGTGACCGGCAACAGATCGCAACCCTCAGTGTCGCGCCCGGACCGGACCGGGACTGGGACCGGCAACGGGATCGCAACCCTCAGTGTTGCTCCCACACCTCGCTCAGCCAGTGAGCGGCCGGTCTGTATGTGGGATCCGAACCCTCGGCGGGAGTGCAGCCGCGCTCCCAAGCGGCGCACTGTAGCAGTGCGCCACCGGGCCGGCCCTGTGTATATGCTTCTATTTGATTATCGTATTACTGCTGAAGTCTTTGGAAATGAAAATTTTATTCATTCACTGTTTTTTTAGGAGGTGGCAATATTGGGATGAAATAATCTCAGTGTTTATATTGTATTGGATTTGCCATTTTATTGCATCACGGTGTTTTGAATAGTTGTAGAGTTGATATAAAAAAAATAAAGCTAGCCCAGAGGAGGCTATTGAAGAGTCTTCATTTTCCTTACAGTTATTACATGATTGGAAAGCTCTTTCAAGATAGCACGTAGGTCAGTGTTTTGAGTAAAGAATTTCATATCAATCTATCTAATTTTATACCCTGTTAGTTTCATGAATTTTGTCACAATACTCTGAGAGAACCAGCATTACTCATTCTTTTATCATTTTAGCCCTCTTTATGGTTTTTTAGGTGTGAAATAAAAGTACCTTTTGTGTAAACTCATTGAGATTTGACCTACCGTATTTCATATACTATGCTAAAGCACAGCTCTTCGAATTTTATAGTTGGTATACCAGTTTACTAAGGAGTTTTAATGTCTAGGTTCAATAAAGTACTAACAGGAGACTTGTTTCCAAAATTGATGCCTTCTCAACCTCCTGAGGGTGTGCCAGCCTAGATATTTGAGTCTGTGCCATGGTAAGCATTGGGTGACTCCCAGCAATAGAAGCTAGAAAGATCCCTGATGTACACTTACACTGAAACTTCTCCAAAACTAGCCCAGTGAATCCAGGCATCCCTCCAAACTTGGAGTGACCTGGAGTTGGGCCCACTACCTTGGCTGTGACCTTTATATCCCTGGCCTCAGTGTGAGTATATATGCATGAAAGCTGTTCTTTTCTATTGGTTTAGATAAATATGAGAATACCCAGAGGCTTCCCTTCTCAGTTTGATCCTTAGGGCCTATGTGGTCTACTTGCCCATTACCTCTGACTTCATCTCCTATTGATCCCCCTCCTCCTCTTTTCTCCAGCAACTCTGGTGTGTTTGTGTTTTGATGAAGTGTTTCTACCTTAGAGCCTTTGCACCTGCTCTTCCCTCTGCTGAAATACTCTTGCCCCACATATCCACATGCCTTCAGGTTGTGACTCAGAGTCAACTTCTTAAGGAAGTTTTCCCTGGCTATGTCAGGTTATCTACATTTCAAATACCTCTTCCCTGCTTTATTTTTTTCCCCTCAGTACTGCTTATCACCAGCTAACGGAGTATATATGTTATTTTTATTTATTTATTTATTTATTTTTGTCCTTTTTGAGACCAGCCGCACCGCGCTCAGCCAGTGAGTACTGTGAGCGTACGGGTCATCCCTATATAGGATCCGAACCCCTGGCGGGAGTGCTGCTGCGCTCCCAGTGCCGCACTCTCCCGGGTGCACCACGGGCTCGGCCCTATATATATTATTTTACTCATTTATCTTTTGTCTGTCTCCCCTATTAGAATGTAAGTTCCATGAGGACAAGAATTTTGTCAGATTTTTTTAGTTTTTACTACTTGTTCCCAATGCCTGGTACACACTTGGGATGTAATAAATAATTTGGAGAATTAATGAACATTAAATACACACAGCTCACTTCTAGTTAGTTATGTGTAAATTGCCTTTAAAGTAGTCTGGTTAGAGTTGAGCAAAAAGTAGTTGCTATTATATATTTTGGGTCAATTCAGTAAATATTATAGTAGACACAGAGGGGAAGCAAACAAGGAGTAGATACTACTGCCTTCAGGAAGGCCTGAAAGCCAAATCCAGCCTGCTGGTATCTGTGTGCATGTGTGTGTGTGTGTGTGTGTGTGTGTGTGTGTGTGTGTGTGTGTGTGTGTGTGTGTGTGTGTGTGTGTGTGTGTGTGTGTGCATACATGCACATGAACAGTTTTTTTTTCTTTTAGCCCACACACCATTGGTCCACCGAGTGTTAATAAGTGTAAATTAGTTGCCAAATTTTAAAAAATAGGATTTCATATAAAATTTGATTTCAGGCATCTGTTAAACAATTAGAGGATATGACCAGGACTAGGCCTGCATGCCCATAGATCATTAAGGTGATTGTGAGTGGGTGTATATTCATGTTTGTCACTTTCTTTTGTTTCCTTGTTGTTAGAGCCATGTACCAGTGGCTGATTATAATTGAATTTAAGCTCTGTTTTTCTTACAGTGGGATTAAGAGAATTGAAAAACATTTTCCTATACTCATAACTATACAAAAAAGTGAGAATTACCATGAGGGCTGTGTGTTTTAAGAAAGAAGGGAAGGAACCACTTCTTTGGGTAATTAAGTGATATTCCTACTTATTTATTGTACACTTCATTTACCCATTTATATTACTGTAGGTATTTGAGTTTTCAGGCCCCTTGGAGAGACATGGCATGAATGTTTTAAAGTATACACAAGTCACCGTGTATACTTGAGCAAATTATACCTTCCTTGAGGACAGGATTGATGGTCTGAACTATGTAAAATATGGGGCTTGAGTGAGGCTTTGAAACATAATTTTTTAATTGCTAAAGAGAAGTTTATAAGGAAGTCATCGTAGGTGGGAAGAATTTGTGAGGGTGCTTTTTGGCAGCTAACAAGACAAACCTGTTGGTAGTCTATGAGTTGAAAGAATACAGTGTATTGTTCTTTCAGCATAAGATTTTTCTCACAGTTATCTACAGTGCACCAGGTGTTCAGGGTGTAAGATATATAAAACACAGCATTGCTCCTGCAGAGCTCATAATCTGGTGATCCATTTTGCTTTGACTTTTACTTAGCTTTATTAGTATTTTGAAAGTTTTTACTTGGGGCATTACTCTAATGCTATTTTCCAGGTTTATTACCAAATTAAGTTAAATGTAATATTCATAACAATAGTGTCATTAATAATCAATAATTGTATCATTTTGAGTAGACCTTAATTAGTAACCGCAGATTTTGTGGTGGTTTATTGTGTTTTGTAACATCTTAGAGTACACTGGATTTGTTGAACTCCAGTAGTTCAGAACTCTGAGCTATGTGAAAATTCAAAGAGAAGTTCTCTGCTCTAAAAAGTATCTAATATAACTGAATGTATAACTCCCAGTATTTTACCTGAACAAATGTAGTCTTTGTGGAAATCATTTCTGTCTTGTAGACATGATTATTTGTGTTACAAAAGCTTTCACCGAAATTTTTCACTAGAAGCCAACTCTGTATTTCAGTATGATTTTGTATTCATGTTCAAGAAAAGGAATGCTTTCTTGAATGTAATTGCTTTGTGCTTTTGTTTTTTTCCCTATTATTATTCAGGTTTTTTTGCCCTCCTCCATGTGTGTATCTTATGGGCAGTGGATGGAAGAAAAAAAAAGAACAAATGGAACGAGATGGTTGTTCTGAACAAGAGTCCCAACCATGTGCATTTATTGGAATAGGAAATAGTGACCAAGAAATGCAGCAGCTGAACTTGGAAGGAAAGGTAAATTGAGACTGCTTGTTCTCCATAGTGGGCACCATGGTACCAGAGTGTAGTTTCCATATTCATTTTTGTGGTGGTGACTTTTTTTAATGGCTATTGGTAACAATTTCTTGAATATATAAATCAGAACTAGGAATACTCCTCCCAGATAGCTATGGTCTAGTTACGATTTATGGAGCTAATGCTGTTGACATCTAAAAGTGGCCTGCAGTAAGCTTTCTATTGGAAGCCTGTAATAAATTTAGGAGGCTAATTGCTCATCTTCTGCCTGAGAGGGGTGTAATACTCAAATATCAATGAAAATACATTGTTCAGTAATGTTTTACACTGCTCTCTTAATCTTAGTCTTATACTAGAAGCAGTGATATAGACAAATTCTAGAAGCACTTACCTGGGTTATAAAAATCGTAAACATTTACTTAACATCAGTGTGCAGCAGAACTATTTATAGACAAGTACAAGCACAATTGGCTTTACTTAAAATTTTAGGGGGATTTTCTTCAATTAATTTGCTAAGGAAAGACATTTATCAACTAATTGAATTTTATGAATTTAGAAAGCAGTCATTATCAATCTATAGTATTGAAAAATAGTTATTTATTAACTTAGGTTTTATTTTATTTTCCCTTGATATTAAAATTTGGAAAATTTTAGTTATCTCAATGTCTATAGGAATTTCTTTTAAAATAGTGCGTTAAATGCTATTTCCTTATTTGATAAATCTTTGTTGTATACCTTAGTGTTTGCTGGGTTTTATTTGGCATTAGGGATAGGGCTTGGAGGGTAGTGTTAAAGATAGTGAAATAGGAAATTTGTGCTCTCAAATTCAGTATTAGTCAATTTATAGATAGTATTAAGAAGCCGTAATATCAGCCTCCTTCAGATTTGGGTGTTTATATGCCATTTGTANGCGGGAGTGCAGCCGCGCTCCCAAGCGGCGCACTGTAGCAGTGCGCCACCGGGCCGGCCCTGTGTATATGCTTCTATTTGATTATCGTATTACTGCTGAAGTCTTTGGAAATGAAAATTTTATTCATTCACTGTTTTTTTAGGAGGTGGCAATATTGGGATGAAATAATCTCAGTGTTTATATTGTATTGGATTTGCCATTTTATTGCATCACGGTGTTTTGAATAGTTGTAGAGTTGATATAAAAAAAATAAAGCTAGCCCAGAGGAGGCTATTGAAGAGTCTTCATTTTCCTTACAGTTATTACATGATTGGAAAGCTCTTTCAAGATAGCACGTAGGTCAGTGTTTTGAGTAAAGAATTTCATATCAATCTATCTAATTTTATACCCTGTTAGTTTCATGAATTTTGTCACAATACTCTGAGAGAACCAGCATTACTCATTCTTTTATCATTTTAGCCCTCTTTATGGTTTTTTAGGTGTGAAATAAAAGTACCTTTTGTGTAAACTCATTGAGATTTGACCTACCGTATTTCATATACTATGCTAAAGCACAGCTCTTCGAATTTTATAGTTGGTATACCAGTTTACTAAGGAGTTTTAATGTCTAGGTTCAATAAAGTACTAACAGGAGACTTGTTTCCAAAATTGATGCCTTCTCAACCTCCTGAGGGTGTGCCAGCCTAGATATTTGAGTCTGTGCCATGGTAAGCATTGGGTGACTCCCAGCAATAGAAGCTAGAAAGATCCCTGATGTACACTTACACTGAAACTTCTCCAAAACTAGCCCAGTGAATCCAGGCATCCCTCCAAACTTGGAGTGACCTGGAGTTGGGCCCACTACCTTGGCTGTGACCTTTATATCCCTGGCCTCAGTGTGAGTATATATGCATGAAAGCTGTTCTTTTCTATTGGTTTAGATAAATATGAGAATACCCAGAGGCTTCCCTTCTCAGTTTGATCCTTAGGGCCTATGTGGTCTACTTGCCCATTACCTCTGACTTCATCTCCTATTGATCCCCCTCCTCCTCTTTTCTCCAGCAACTCTGGTGTGTTTGTGTTTTGATGAAGTGTTTCTACCTTAGAGCCTTTGCACCTGCTCTTCCCTCTGCTGAAATACTCTTGCCCCACATATCCACATGCCTTCAGGTTGTGACTCAGAGTCAACTTCTTAAGGAAGTTTTCCCTGGCTATGTCAGGTTATCTACATTTCAAATACCTCTTCCCTGCTTTATTTTTTTCCCCTCAGTACTGCTTATCACCAGCTAACGGAGTATATATGTTATCACATGCCTTCAGGTTGTGACTCAGAGTCAACTTCTTAAGGAAGTTTTCCCTGGCTATGTCAGGTTATCTACATTTCAAATACCTCTTCCCTGCTTTATTTTTTTCCCCTCAGTACTGCTTATCACCAGCTAACAGAGTATATATGTTATTTTTATTTATTTATTTATTTATTTTTGTCCTTTTTGAGACCAGCCGCACCGCGCTCAGCCAGTGAGTACTGTGAGCGTACGGGTCATCCCTATATAGGATCCGAACCCCTGGCGGGAGTGCTGCTGCGCTCCCAGTGCCGCACTCTCCCGGGTGCACCACGGGCTCGGCCCTATATATGTGGCGGGAGTGCTGCTGCGCTCCCAGTGCCGCACTCTCCCGAGTGCACCACGGGCTCGGCCCTATATATATTATTTTACTCATTTATCTTTTGTCTGTCTCCCCTATTAGAATGTAAGTTCCATGAGGACAAGAATTTTGTCAGATTTTTTTAGTTTTTACTACTTGTTCCCAATGCCTGGTACACACTTGGGATGTAATAAATAATTTGGAGAATTAATGAACATTAAATACACACAGCTCACTTCTAGTTAGTTATGTGTAAATTGCCTTTAAAGTAGTCTGGTTAGAGTTGAGCAAAAAGTAGTTGCTATTATATATTTTGGGTCAATTCAGTAAATATTATAGTAGACACAGAGGGGAAGCAAACAAGGAGTAGATACTACTGCCTTCAGGAAGGCCTGAAAGCCAAATCCAGCCTGCTGGTATCTGTGTGCATGTGTGTGTGTGTGTGCATACATGCACATGAACAGTTTTTTTTTCTTTTAGCCCACACACCATTGGTCCACCGAGTGTTAATAAGTGTAAATTAGTTGCCAAATTTTAAAAAATAGGATTTCATATAAAATTTGATTTCAGGCATCTGTTAAACAATTAGAGGATATGACCAGGACTAGGCCTGCATGCCCATAGATCATTAAGGTGATTGTGAGTGGGTGTATATTCATGTTTGTCACTTTCTTTTGTTTCCTTGTTGTTAGAGCCATGTACCAGTGGCTGATTATAATTGAATTTAAGCTCTGTTTTTCTTACAGTGGGATTAAGAGAATTGAAAAACATTTTCCTATACTCATAACTATACAAAAAAGTGAGAATTACCATGAGGGCTGTGTGTTTTAAGAAAGAAGGGAAGGAACCACTTCTTTGGGTAATTAAGTGATATTCCTACTTATTTATTGTACACTTCATTTACCCATTTATATTACTGTAGGTATTTGAGTTTTCAGGCCCCTTGGAGAGACATGGCATGAATGTTTTAAAGTATACACAAGTCACCGTGTATACTTGAGCAAATTATACCTTCCTTGAGGACAGGATTGATGGTCTGAACTATGTAAAATATGGGGCTTGAGTGAGGCTTTGAAACATAATTTTTTAATTGCTAAAGAGAAGTTTATAAGGAAGTCATCGTAGGTGGGAAGAATTTGTGAGGGTGCTTTTTGGCAGCTAACAAGACAAACCTGTTGGTAGTCTATGAGTTGAAAGAATACAGTGTATTGTTCTTTCAGCATAAGATTTTTCTCACAGTTATCTACAGTGCACCAGGTGTTCAGGGTGTAAGATATATAAAACACAGCATTGCTCCTGCAGAGCTCATAATCTGGTGATCCATTTTGCTTTGACTTTTACTTAGCTTTATTAGTATTTTGAAAGTTTTTACTTGGGGCATTACTCTAATGCTATTTTCCAGGTTTATTACCAAATTAAGTTAAATGTAATATTCATAACAATAGTGTCATTAATAATCAATAATTGTATCATTTTGAGTAGACCTTAATTAGTAACCGCAGATTTTGTGGTGGTTTATTGTGTTTTGTAACATCTTAGAGTACACTGGATTTGTTGAACTCCAGTAGTTCAGAACTCTGAGCTATGTGAAAATTCAAAGAGAAGTTCTCTGCTCTAAAAAGTATCTAATATAACTGAATGTATAACTCCCAGTATTTTACCTGAACAAATGTAGTCTTTGTGGAAATCATTTCTGTCTTGTAGACATGATTATTTGTGTTACAAAAGCTTTCACCGAAATTTTTCACTAGAAGCCAACTCTGTATTTCAGTATGATTTTGTATTCATGTTCAAGAAAAGGAATGCTTTCTTGAATGTAATTGCTTTGTGCTTTTGTTTTTTTCCCTATTATTATTCAGGTTTTTTTGCCCTCCTCCATGTGTGTATCTTATGGGCAGTGGATGGAAGAAAAAAAAAGAACAAATGGAACGAGATGGTTGTTCTGAACAAGAGTCCCAACCATGTGCATTTATTGGAATAGGAAATAGTGACCAAGAAATGCAGCAGCTGAACTTGGAAGGAAAGGTAAATTGAGACTGCTTGTTCTCCATAGTGGGCACCATGGTACCAGAGTGTAGTTTCCATATTCATTTTTGTGGTGGTGACTTTTTTTAATGGCTATTGGTAACAATTTCTTGAATATATAAATCAGAACTAGGAATACTCCTCCCAGATAGCTATGGTCTAGTTACGATTTATGGAGCTAATGCTGTTGACATCTAAAAGTGGCCTGCAGTAAGCTTTCTATTGGAAGCCTGTAATAAATTTAGGAGGCTAATTGCTCATCTTCTGCCTGAGAGGGGTGTAATACTCAAATATCAATGAAAATACATTGTTCAGTAATGTTTTACACTGCTCTCTTAATCTTAGTCTTATACTAGAAGCAGTGATATAGACAAATTCTAGAAGCACTTACCTGGGTTATAAAAATCGTAAACATTTACTTAACATCAGTGTGCAGCAGAACTATTTATAGACAAGTACAAGCACAATTGGCTTTACTTAAAATTTTAGGGGGATTTTCTTCAATTAATTTGCTAAGGAAAGACATTTATCAACTAATTGAATTTTATGAATTTAGAAAGCAGTCATTATCAATCTATAGTATTGAAAAATAGTTATTTATTAACTTAGGTTTTATTTTATTTTCCCTTGATATTAAAATTTGGAAAATTTTAGTTATCTCAATGTCTATAGGAATTTCTTTTAAAATAGTGCGTTAAATGCTATTTCCTTATTTGATAAATCTTTGTTGTATACCTTAGTGTTTGCTGGGTTTTATTTGGCATTAGGGATAGGGCTTGGAGGGTAGTGTTAAAGATAGTGAAATAGGAAATTTGTGCTCTCAAATTCAGTATTAGTCAATTTATAGATAGTATTAAGAAGCCGTAATATCAGCCTCCTTCAGATTTGGGTGTTTATATGCCATTTGTATCTTGTTTTAGTCCATTTTGTGTTGCTATAACAGAAACACCTGAGACTGGGTAATTTATAAAGGAAAGAAGTTTATTTGGCTTACGATTCTGGGACAGCTGCATCTGACGTGGGCCTCAGGCTGCTTCTACTCATGGTGGAAAGCGGCAAGCAGCTGGGAGGTACAAACAGATCACATGGTGAGAGGAAGCGAGAGAGAGGAAGCAAGAGAGAGAGAAGGTGCCAGGGTCTTTTTAAGCAACGAGCTCTTGCAGGAACTAATAGTGTGAGAACTCACTCATTAATTCCCCCTCCCGCAGGGAGAGCATTAATCCATTAATGAAGGATCCACCCCCATGACTCAATCAGTTTCCAACACTGCCACATTGGAGATCATATTTCCACATGATTTTTGGAGGGGACAACACATCCAAACTCCATCATTCTGCCCCTGGCCCCCCAAAACTCATGTCCCTCTCACATACAAAATACAATCATTTTGTCCCAACAGTCCCAAAAGTCTTAGCTTGCTCCAGCTCCAACTTAAAAGTCCAAAGTCTCATCTGAGACCAAAAGCAAAAATCCTTCCAGCTGTGAACATGAAAAACAAAACCAAATTTATCTACTGCCAAGATACAATGGTGGAACAGACATTGGGTATACATTCCCATTCCAGAAGGGAGGAGTAGGCCAAAAGAAAGGAAAAACAGGCCCCAAACAAGTCCGAAACCCAGCAGGGCAGGCATTATGTCTTAAAGCTCCAAAATAATGTTCTTTGACTCCAAGTCCTGCATCCTGGGCACAATTGGGCATCTGGGCCCCCAAAGCCTCAGGCAGCCTTGCTCCCCCATCTCTGCCAGGCACAGTCCATTGGGCTGCACTGGTGCCTGTAGCTTTTCCAGGCCTGTGTTGCGCGTTACCAGTGGCCCTGCAGTTCCAGGGTTCTGGAGGTAGCCCCGCTGCCTTGGCTCTACTAGATATTTCCCTGGTGGGGGCTCTCTGTGGGGGTTCCCACCCCACTTTCCTGCTGAGCATTGCTCTAGTAGAAGTCCTCTGCGGTGGCTCTGCCCCTGTGGCAGGTATCTGCCTGGACCCCCAGGCTTTTCCATACATCCTCTGGAATCTGGGTGGAGGCTGCCACGCCTCCACTGCTCTCAGGGCCTGGCGGCCAGCAGACTTAACACAATATAGATGCTACCAAGATTTCAGGCCTCTACTCTCCAGGGCTGCTGCAGGAACCACACTTGGGGCCACTCCAGCCAGAGCAGCTGGGATGCAGGGAGCAGGATCCCGAGCACAGCAACTCAGTGCTTCTAGACTTCAGGGCCTGTGATGGGTAGGGCACCCTTCCATACTTCTGAAATGCCTGCAGGGCTTTCCTCTCATTGTCTCTCTATTAGCATCTGGCTGCCTCACCACCAAGATAATGTCTTTAGCAACCAGTTTATCTGCTTCACCCTTGCATTTTTCTCCAGCTGTCCGCTTCTCTACCACATGCCCAGGCTGCATATTTTCCAAATCTTTATGCTCCGATTCCCTTTTAAATTCAGGCTTTACATCATGATTTTGCCACCATAACTCAGCATAGGTTGTTAGAAATAACCATGCAGCGTCCTTAATGATTTGCTGCTTGGAAATTTCTTCCGCCAGATACTCTGGTTCACATCTTTTAAGTTCCAACTTCCAGAGTCCGAGGGCGTGGACACAATGCAGACAAGTTCCTTGCTTTGGTGTAGCAAGGGTGATCTTTTGTCCAATTCCCAACAAGTTCCTCATTTCTATCTGAGACCTCATCATCCGCGTGGCCTTTACTGTCCACATTTCTATCAGCATTCTGCTCGCCATCACATAAGTATCTAAGACATTCCAAACTTTCCCTCATCTTTTTCTCTTCTTCTGCATCCTCCAAATTCCTCCAACCTTTACCCATTACCCAGCTCCAAAGATGCATCCACATTTTCAGGTATCTGTATAGCAACACCCCACTCTCAGTACCAGTTTTCTGTTTTAGTCTGTTTTGTGTTGCTATAACAGAAACACCTGAGACTGGGTAATTTATAAAGGAAAGAGGTTTATCTGCCTTAAGATTCTGGGACAGCTGCATCTGGCGTGGGCCTTAGGCTGCTTCTACTCATGGTGGAAAGTGGCAGGCAGCCAGCTGGTATAAGCATATCACATGGCGAGAGGAAGCTAGAGAGAGAGAGAAGGTGCCAGGGTCTTTTTAAGCACCGAGCTCTCGCAGGAACTAATAGAGTGAGAACTCACTCATTAATTCCCCCTCCCCCAGGGAGAGCATGAATCCATTCATGAGGGATCCGCCCCCATGACTCAACCAGCCTCCAACACTGCCACATTGGGGAACAGATTTCCACATGAGTTTTGGAGGGGACAACACATCCAGACTCCATCAGTATCTTTATAGTTTTTATCAGTAAGGCTTGTTGACTATGTATCTTAAATTAGGTTTGGGATAGTACTTATCATAATAAAGGTTGTTTCATCCTAAAAGAAAATATAACAGTAAAGCTATTTCTAAATTATGACCCTCGAGCTAAAGTAAAGAATATATTTAAGTGGTGGTTTGATCTAATAAATCTTAGCCATGTTTCATCTGTTTCTCTATTGTATAGAAAGTCTCAGAGTTATATGCTTGCAAGCTGCACATCTAGACATTCAGTACAATGAATGAGTAGATCAGATGTTAGCAAGAAGCGAAGGATTCTAGCTATCAGTGGGTATAACTGGTTTAATCAAAATTCATTACTTGCTTTAACCAGTTCCAGCTTCCAGTAAATTCATGTGAGGTAATACCAAACTGACCAGCCAGTAGCACCACTGCTTGCCTTTCCCATCACCATGGCTTAGTAGTGCTGTGTTCAAATTCTATACCCTTAAGAGCTGCCTCAGCACGGAGATCCTCCTGCTCGCTGCCATTATATCTTTCTTCAACTTGTATCCTTCTGCCCTGTCCCAAAGGCCTAGAAATTGGCAGAAGAGGAAGAGAATATCTGAGAGAGAGCTTGAGCATTTAACTAGTATTTAAAACACCTACTAATAGGGCAATATAATGTCTGTAAGCCTAAATTATATGTTATTATTTAATTTTAATGAAAAATGCTATTATAGAAGTCTAATTAAAGTTAAGACTGGTTGAAAGTCAGTAGAAGGCATTCCAAGGAACAGTGTATTCGTGTGCTTGGAGCATGATCATATAAGAACGTGGCTTGGGGCGAGATGGGCAAAGGTGTCCTGAGCAGTGAGATGCTGAGCTCAGAAAGGCACTTTGCTCCTGTCTGCCTCACTTAACTTCTGTTTAAGTAAGGTAGTATTATTTTCTTTCAATAGTCTGTTCATTGAACAGTACAACTAGTCATTATTGAAATATGAGATATTATTTTTCATTATTTAGTTGTTTATACTTATTTTATGTATTTATTGCAACAAAATTCTAGTATATTTAGCCTTTTTAAGTGCACAGTCATGACATTTGATTGCATGTTGGTAATTTTGGATCTGAGCATTAATGATTTTTCGGGGCACAGCTAGCAGTATGAGGATCCGAGCCCCTGGCCTTGGTGTTACAACACTGCACTCTAAGCGACTGAGCTAACTGGCCAGCCTGTTCTAGCATATCGATACCCATTTTCATAGGACTCATCTTATGTTAAAGAGCAGTTACATTGTTTAGGCTTAATTTGACCTTCAGTGCCGTCATTTTTAAAAGTATGGTGGACCCACACATCAGCTCACGGATGCGATTTCTGAATGCTTTGGAGATCCTTGGGTGAAAAAAGCTATGTGACCACACAGTATTGTTGTTTTTATTTTTTGTATTACTATATTAGCTTTATCTTATTCTGTCTTCTGCAAAGCCAACCCTCTCAAAGCTTTTTCCAAACTTTTGAATTTATAAAAACTTGAGTGTAGAATATTCAAGATGGCACCTAAATTTTTTGTATATAACTTTGCTATTGAGAAATGAAATAAACTATTGCAGTATTTTTTTGTGTTACTAAGGCTATGAGTAAAATTTTAAAGGTAAAAATCTAGAACTCATTAGCTATTTCTTAAGTGACATTTGCTCTGCTCTTTGAAAGGAACACATAGCAAGATAGTTGAAGAAATTTGCTTAGCCTGATTTTAAAGTGGAGTGTTGATCTTTCAAAAAATATAATTCAGATATTTTAGATACTTACTGTGTGTTTGAGCATCATTTACCCTATCTGGTAAAGGAGGTCAATAATTTAGTCCCCTCCCTAACTCAGAGATGAGGGGAATAGGAAAGATTTTAGAATTGTCATATACGAGGGAACTTAAGACAGTTTATGGAAAAATAGAATTGAAAGATAAGAATCCTTCCATTAACTTTTTGAAGACCCCTTGTATAATTAAAGTAATAGCATTTCTAAGTGTCTTTGCTGTTTGTCAAGCGTTATAACTCTTTGACACTATCTTTTCAGTTATCAGAATTTATATTCTGGGCCGGCCCGGTGGCGCACTGGATAGTGCGCCGCTTGGGAAGCACGGCGGCGCTCCCGCCCGAGGGTTTGGATCCCACATACAGACCGGTTCCCGCTTGCTGGCTGAGCGAGGCGCGGGAGCAGCACCGAGGGTTGCGATCCCGTTGCCGGTCCCCGGTCCGGTATGGGGGCAACACTGAGGGTTGCGATCCTTTGCTGGACATGGAAAAAGACAAAAAGACCAAAAAAAAAAAAAAAGAATTTATATTCTGGTAAAATAGACATATTGCCTTGAGCATTTTCTCTAGCACCTTTAAATTCAGTTCTTTTGATGATAAAATATGAATGGTCACTTTGGGCAAAGTTACTCATTTTAAAAGTTTTTTTAGTGTATACTCATATAATGTCTTTGTGCTTTGATATATTATAATCATCCAGTTTAGACTAACATTGTTTTCCTCAGACTCATAAGTGGCTCCAAATCAGCTACATAAAGAAAAATATTGTGTGCACTATTTCGGAAGGACAACTGCTAAAATCTTTTACATAATTCTGTTGAATTCTGATAGCCTTATTTATATATTTTCTTTGCAGAAAAATAATCATCGATATTTTTAACTGTAAAAATTCTATTTTAAAAATTACTGCTGTAACATTGAGTGATTATTCTGTGAAACAGATGTAGAGCGTACAACAAGAAAAGAGTGTTTTTTCAAACGATCTTTTTAATAGGGTAAAATGGATCACAGTATTTGTATTATGTAGACTTGATAAAGGAAGATTTTGTACTTTCTTTTCAGAGATCAGCTTCGGTAATTTTTACAGTTGGTTTTTATCAGCTGTCCATTGGAATTATTTAAACCTGATTAAACCTAGCCACAGCCATTCTGGGTTGTGGCTGCATAACCAACAAGGTTTTGGTACTATTAAAACTTTCCTTTTCTTTCACAGAACTATTGCACGGCCAAAACATTGTACATATCTGATTCAGACAAAAGGAAGCACTTCATGTTGTCTGTAAAGATGTTCTATGGCAACAGTGATGACATTGGTGTGTTCCTCAGCAAGCGGATAAAAGTCATCTCCAAACCTTCTAAAAAGAAACAGTCATTGAAAAATGCTGACTGTATGTATACTTGAGTTTTCTTTTGTCCTCAACTCCCACCACGAGTTAATAAGACAAGCTATTTTTTAAATTAAGAATTGTTTTTCCAAGAACTAATTCATTCTTTACTAATATTTTTGTGGCCCTCTTTATTGTGTCGTCCCCCCCCCCTTTTTTTAATTGAAAATGTGCAGTACCTGGTTTAATGAAGTGGTCCTCAGTCAGAACTGGTTCCTTCCTGCTCTCCCCAGGGGCATTTGGGAAAATGGGGAGTTTTTTTCCTTCTGTTGTCTCAGTGACTGAAGGGGGTGCTGTTGGCATTGGGAGTCTTGGGCAAGTGATGCTAAGTGTTCTGCAATGCCCAGGTAGTTTCCATTCCACAAAGAATTGATCCACCTAGAATATCAAAAGCACCCCTGTGAAATACATTGTTATTATATCAAATGGGCTTTGGAAAACCATCCTGAGAACCTAAACAAAACTTTTAAGCTGATGTCTCTGGCGGAGACTGCTGTCTCATCAGCAGATTTTTAGACTACCAAAGATATATACTGTCTGTTTGAATTATACATTTCAGCCCCCACACTTTTTTTTTCTTTTCTGAATTTTAACTTTTTATTATGAAAACTTGCAAATTTATGTAGAAGAGAGAAAGCAGTATAGTATAAGCATCCACCTGGCCTCAATGGGTTTTACCAATTCTGTCTCATTTATCTTCATTACCACCAACATGTCTTCCTCTTCCAACTGCTGCAGTATCCTAATGTAAATCTCAAGTATCCTGTCCTTTCAACCAAAATTTTTGCAATCATGACTAACGACTGCAACAAAAGTTTTCTTTTTAAGCATTATTACTACCAACAAAGTAGATAGTAGTTCTTAAATGCCATCTAATATCCATTCCATGTACAGATTTATCAGATAGTTTCAGCATGTCTTTTTACAGTTGGTTTGTTCAAACCTGGATCCAAAAAAACCCCCCAAAACAAAAAAAAAAACCTTGTATCCAAACAGGGTCCGTTTATTTATTTATTCATCTATTTTTTATCTATTTATTTATTTTGCGGCTGGCTGTTTTGGGGATCTGAAACCGTGACCTTGGTGTTACAAGGCTGCGCTCTATCCAGCTGAGCTAACTGGCCATCCCTAAGGTCCATTTATTTTAATCTATAATGGTTTCTTCTCTCCTGTTCCCACCTTAAAAAATTTTTTTTCCTGGGTCATTTATTTGTTGAGGAAACTGAGTCATTTTTCCTGTGGAATTTTCATATTCTGCATTTGTCTGATTACATATTTCTCTGTCTCATATTCTCCATGAACTGGTGGTTAGACCTAAGGACTTTCAGAATGAGCTGGTCCTCTATACATTGATTTCCATTGGGTAGAAATCATATAATATGTGGTTATTCTATTTTTTGTCATGTTAAGATTGATTATAGTAAGTTTTGCTGTTGTTAGTCTAAACTTAAGTATAGAACCAAGGTCAATTCTGAAATACAACGAAAACAAGTGAGGATTTATAGCCAAGGAACAGAGTGCAGGGGTCAATGGATGGAAAACCACTAAGAAGAGACACCAGGGGTAGGGGAATTCTTGCTGAACTGACTTAACATGATTCCTGCTAAGGGCAGGCCAAGTTGATCATATATCAACGATGCGGGGATGACTTAGCAGGATTCTTGTTACAGCTGTGCTAAGCAGACCGAAACAGGCCCAAGGATGAAGAGTCATTGAAAAGAATGCTCAAAGAAGCCTAAGGTTTTGGTCAAGGGGAGAATCTTTGTCAGTAGTTAATCTGAAGCTTGATCAGATTTAGTTTGTTTTTCTTTGGTTCTTTTTTTGTTGCTGAAGGATAAGGCCTACTTCACAGGTGCTGATGTGCTCTTGTGCACCAGGAGGCATATGATGTCCTGAATTCAGGCTATTTCCAATTCAAATTAAAGGGTTTTATTTAACCTCTTTAACCTTGTATTTGTATTGAATATTTGTTTCTTGATGGCGGAGAACATATTTCACTTTCAGAATATTTTCTTGCTTATGTAGATGTGTTTTTTTTTTTCCCCCAACAATTTTCACGTGATTCAATACATTAAGGTATTTAGAAGAAAGCAAAATTCTCTGAAATCACAATATGGTAAGGCAGTTGCTATTGACTTTGGTAAACACCCTTCTAGATTTTTTTCTATGTATACTATAGGATTGATGCAAGCACATGGAATAACACATGCAATCACATGTCCCCCCCCACCCCCAAAATGTACATATATATATGTGTGTGTGTATATATATATAATTTATTTAATCAAGTTCCTACTGTTGGACATATATTATTTTAAAAATAATTTCCCCTCTAATGAATAGCAATACATTAAACATACTGTGTAGGTCTCATTTTAAAATGACTTTTATGGACATATTTTATATCATTAGCTCGATGTTATTCGTAAGACTTACCTTGGTCTTATTTTTTGGTATCATTTGTACTTTATTGAAAGATTAAAATATTTATCATCAGAATCTGTTGTTAAATTATAATAAAAAATAATCATAACTTGCCAAGCAAAAGTCTCCTCTTGCCCCCCTCCCCACTGCCCCAATCACATAAATAGGAATTGTTTTTTGTTTGCAGTGTGCATTGCCTCAGGAACAAAGGTGGCTCTGTTTAATCGACTTCGATCTCAGACTGTTAGTACTAGGTACTTGCATGTAGAAGGAGGTAATTTCCATGCCAGTTCACAGCAATGGGGAGCATTTTACATTCATCTCTGTGAGTATAAAAATGTGCAATTTTATGTTTTTAGTGTAAAATTGTTGCATTCTTTTTAATGATATATATGGATATATTAAATTTTGTCATTTTCCTAAGCAGATAATGAATTCTAAAAGATGATGATTTGATCTCTCTTTCTACCCACTGCAGTGGATGACGATGAATCAGAAGGAGAAGAATTCACAGTGCGAGATGGCTACATCCATTATGGACAAACAGTGAAACTCGTATGCTCAGTTACTGGCATGGCACTCCCGAGATTGGTATGGCTCTACTTCTGCTTTTGTGATATGTGAATTAAAAATTATTTCTTAAAACAGGCAAGTCACAACATTCAAATGTAGCAGTGCACTTCAGTTTTATGCTTTTTAACTTAAGTAGGTATGTCAGTTTATAATTGCTGTTTATAATTGACAATTATACCCTACCTTATTTCAGATATGCTTTAAGGCAATTAGCCAATTTTTACAAATGCCGTCATAGTCGCTTACTGTTACACTATTTCTAATAAATTTTAGTGGCAATTTTCTTTTTGGTTGTATATGTAAACACATTTAATAGAGGGCACTGTACATTATGAGCTTTTCTTTACTAATGCAGATATACCTTATTCATATTTTGTAGTACTTATATCCCAATGTAGGACTAAGTTTTCAGAAGAATAGAAATTCTTATTACTTTTAAAATATTAGCATAGTTTTTATTAGATTTCTTTTCCACAAGAAGATAGATTTATTAAAAATTAAATAAAATTAATACTTCTTACTCTGAGAGAAAGGTGTAGGATTTAGGGCTTTTTGTTCACTAGAATATCTTAAAACTATAAAAGCTGCTTTCCCTAGTAAAATGAAAACAAAAGTCGCTTATAACTCCAACCTCCCCCCCTCCCCAATTTTTCCCTCTCCTTTTCTGAAACAATACAATTTAGGTATATTAAAGATGAAGAGGATTTAGGAGTAAGTTTGATGATTCAAGGTCAGGTTGGTGGGGGGTGGGGTGATGTTGGACAAGTGGAAGAACATTTAGCATTACTGTTAATGAGCATGCTTTATATTTGTCTTCTTGGTGTAATATTTTCTGGGGCTATTTCAGCAGAGACTAGTTTGATCTACAGTTGTGTAAGTAAATGCATCATTTCTTTGTTTTTAGTCTTTGTTTTGTTTTCTTCTGTGTCATGGTTGTCCAAGATGATTTTATTTCCCAATTTAATAAGCTAAAAATATGAAGTGTAGTAATATTAATCTATAAAACCTTGAAACTGGGAAAATAAATTACAGTAAAAGGGGTAAAGGTATAGAAGGAAGGGTATAGAAAACGGGAAGACAGAAGCAAACAAAACCAAATCATCTACTCAGTTCTTCTCATTTATTATGTGTCGCTCTCTTCCAAGGTTGATCATTATTTGCTTTGGTGGTATTAAAATGCTTGTGCTACAGGAACAGAGTTTCAGAGCCTTATGCCTCTGATCAGCAATATACCCTTTCATGTGGACCACTTAGAAGATAGACCAAAATCTTAAAATAGTGTTTACACTTAGTTTCGTGTAAAGTACCAATAGTCTGACTTAGTTGAAAGTCATCTTTAATTGAACTTTTTACAAACAAAACTATGTTGTGGTTATTCAAAATGTTGGAATAAAAAAATTAGAAAGTTATTAGAAAAAGTTGCAATACATTATTAACATGCTGATAAATACAACTTTCTAGAGGTTCCATGACTGAGGAATTCTGACTGATTTCCTCAAAATCATAGATACGCTTTAGAAATCTACATTACTTCCTACCCTCCACCCCCAGCCTCCATTTACACGCAGTTTTCAACAAAGGTGATACTCTGTAGCTTTCATAAAAAGGATAATCCTACCTTACTACCAAAATTTGCTTTTAGTGCTTTCTGGAATACCAGCCTCATTGGAGATCTTTGCTTGGAAAACACTATCCCTCTAAAACCAAGTTTCAATAGGATAAATATCCTAAAGAAAAGTGTTTTCTTAGGGTGTTCTCAAAACAGGCATAGTCTCTGCACATCTAGGAAGAAACCTAGTCAGCCATGTACACCATGTACTCATCAAAACTGTCAGATACTCCATGGGTGGGGGCTTCTAATATTTGTTATGTCTTCATTATACCTCTACTCCTAAGGTTTCATCGATGTGATTAAATTACACTAATAACCACTATCCATTGTATCGTATAGAAAGTACATCACTCTCATTTGGTGAACAACCCAGTAACATAAACCTAGACAACATTTACTGGGCATTTAGCAGGTACAGGGCTAGGAATATGAATAAGGTATGTTTCCTGTAGGGTATCCACTTAACTTCAGAAGTCTGGTGAATACTGTACCAACAATCTACAAAACCAGCTTAGAGGAGAGAGAGAGAAAGAGCGCATGCGTGAGAGCACAAATTGGCTCGAATAACCCCTGATGTTTTTTGAATGTACAGTCCACACCACACATGCAGTTTAAGTTTTAATGTGTTTGTACTTTCTATTTTCTCACATTTCTTTCTTCCTTTTCTTAATAATTAGAAAACATCAAAACAAGTTTTTGGTGCCATCTTTGGACATCTTTGCTTTTTTTATTGGTGAGAGCACTAGGTCATTCAGCAGTGTTTGTGTCCAAAGAACTATTGTGGGGACTAAAAAACAAACTAAACATAGCCCACATTCTCAATGTGTTTATTATTACTAGCTAGTGGAGAAAAACGGTACACAAATCACAGTTCTGTAGACAAATCATGACTCTAATGTGGTGGAGACATATAAGTGTGTGCTGTAGACTTACAGGAAGCTCTAGACTTAACATCATTTAAAAAAATCAGTTATTTCTGTAAAAGCAAAAGCTTGTTGATTTTACATACAGCTTTAAGATTTTAGCATTGATTTGAAGCATTTTGCTTGAGGTTAATTAGTCTCACTGACTATCTTTAGAAGCTATAATTGATAAAAGCATGGTGTCTCCCTTTTAAACTTAAAAATTACTGGTGTTAGTGCATGACAAATATTCTGACTAGCTTTAAGATTTTAGCATTGATTTGAAGCATTTTGCTTGAGGTTAATTAGTCTCACTGACTGTCTTTAGAAGCTATAATTGATAAAAGCATGGTGTCTCCCTTTTAAACTTAAAAATTACTGGTGTTAGTGCATGACAAATATTACTGGTGTTAGTGCATGACAAATAAACTGCAGAGCTAAAAATGTGTAAATACAAGGAATGTTAACTTTAAAGACTGGAGCTTTATGCAGTTGTGGCTTAGCTGAAGAAAAATGATCTTTGAATATAAGTGAGGCATGAATCAAGTTGTGAAAGCCAGTAATATTGCATAATATTAATAGCACTGTTCTAAGCACTATTATATATATTGGTTTACTTAATCCACTCAAAGATCTGTGAGGAGTTGCTTTTGAGGATTGTGTAGCAGAGCATTACATTTGTGCATGTGTGCATGCTTTCTACAGAAAATCCTGAGCACCTGTGTGCCATACACTGCCTAGATGCTGGAGATACAGTGGTGAGCAAGACAGAGTTACTCTCCTAATAATGGAACTTATGTGTTGGTAGGGAGATAGACAAAAAACAGCTAAAGAAATACCCACATAATGTATTAAAAGGTTTGCGTAGCGATGAGAAGACAAATTAAAACAGTATGAAAGGATAGAGAACTGGGGGAGTGCTCAGAGAGGGCAGGGAAGTCTTTTGGAAGTGGTGATATATGAACAGAGACCAAAATGAAGTCAAGAAACCACTAACTGAGTGAGGACCATTTCGGGCAGACAGGACTAGTACAGAAGAATTTAAGACAGGTTATGTGTGAGGACTGGTAAGGAAACCAGTGTAGTTAGAGCAGGCAAGTAGCAGGAAATGAAGCTGCAAGGTTAGCCCTGGGCAAGATCTTGTAGGGTCCCTCTCTGTATCTAGGGTAAGGACTCTATATTATCTGTTTATGATAGAAGGCAACTGGCAGGTTATAAACAGAGAATGATGGCTGATTTATGTTTAGAAGGATAATACTGGCTGCTATTTGAAGAAGAGAGCATAGGGATGTGGTGGTGGAAGCAGAGAGACAGGTGGTTGGGCAAGAGTTGACGGCATCTTAGACTAGGAGTGTAGTGGTGAGGTGATGAGAGGTGACTGATTTGTTTGGAAGTGGACCTGAAAGAATTTGCTGACAGATGGGAATGGTTGGGTATGAGAGAAAGCAGGGTGTCAATGATGACTCCAAGGTTTTTGGAGGTGGGGAAGGATCAAGTTTAGGAGGAAATTCGAAATTCTGTTTTTTGGTATATTAAACTTGAGGTGCCCTTTAGACACATTGTAAGTGGAAATGTTGAATAAGTAGTTAAATATACAAGTTAAGTTCAGGAGAGACGAAAAGGCTGGATATATAAACTTGGGAGTTGTCAACTTCTAAATAGCATAGAAACTATAGATTATAAAGAGAGGAGAAGAAGTCTAAGGACTCAACTGTGGGTCTCTAAAGGTCATTTAGAGCAGGTGTAGCCCTGAAAAGAGAATGCCTTTGTCAGATGCTTCTGAGAAAGTGAAGTAAGATGAGGACAGAGAAGTGCCATGAGATTCATCTCTTTGGAAGTCCTTGGTGGCCTTGACAATAGTGGAGTCTTTGAGAAAAAGGCTGGAGAGAGTACAGGAGATTGGATGGTGAGGAAGAAGTGTTTGCTACAAAGGGGAACAGAGAAATGGGCATTGAGAGGGAGGGAGAGAGGGAGATGTAGTCAAGGAAGCATTTTCTCTGCTTTTGATCTTAAGATGAGTGATAGTTACAGCAGGTGCCAGGGTCTTTTTAAGCAACGAGCTCTCGTGGGACCTAATAGAGCGAGATCTCACTCATTAATCCCCCCTCCCCCAGGGAGAGCATTAATCCATTCATGAGGGATCTGCCCCCATGACTCAATCAGTCTCCAACACTGCCGCATTGGAGATCAAATTTCCACATGAGTTTTGGAGGGGACAACACATCCAAACTCCATCACCTTGTGTGTGTTAAGGTCATATAAGGTTTAATAGTATTATCTTTCAGATGTCCATATGTATTTTGTGGACTATTTGGATGATAAGATTATACAGTGTAATGGGAAAAGGTCAGGCTGGGCAGCGAGCCAACCATGGGATCAATTCTGGTTCTTCAGCTACTAACCTGGTGATTTTGAACAACTTACTTGACTCTCTGAGCCTGTTTCCTAATCTGAAAAATTATTTATTTTGTTTTTAAATATATAAATATTGGTTAATGTATTATTATGTAGATATAAAATGTCTGCACTGACTAGCCCATATCCACTGTAGCCTTCTAGAGATTTTTCCCTTTGATGTTGGAATACTTATCATTGTATATTATTGGAAAGATTATCAGAACTTGCTACTCAAAATATGGTTTATAGAACAGCATCATTAACATCACCTGGGAATTTGTTAGAAATGCAGAATATCAGCCCACACCTGAGCCCTGCTGGATAAGAACCTTTATTTTTAACAAAAACCCCAGATGATTTGTTTGGACATTCTGTTTGAAAAGCACTGATGTAGAAAACAGACACCTGCCTGATTTTTTCTTAGATGTTCATGGAAGAGAGTAACAATTTCCACATTCCAGCATGCTTGCAGTCTAAAAGTATTTTTTAGCCTTATTGTTTGTAAATGTTTTCATATATGTAGGTATAGAACAAATAACTGTGATGTATTATTATATAGCATATGCTTTGTACTCTTGACACTGTACAAATGAAAACTCTTTCCATATGGGAGTGACCTTTTATTTTCTAATTGTTGAAATATAGATAATTAGGAAAGTTGATAAGCAGACCGCATTACTGGATGCAGATGATCCTGTATCACAACTTCATAAATGTGCATTTTACCTTAAGGATACAGAAAGAATGTACTTGTGCCTTTCTCAAGAAAGAATAATTCAATTTCAGGTATGTTTTAAAATTACCAGTGAAATCTAAAATGTACAAGCTCTTAGGTTAGTAGCTTACCAGAACATGAAGTTCTCATTTGCTCTTAGTTGTATCCAAATACATGAAGCTGTATTCAGATATTTATCTCAGATCCAAGGGTCCTTAACACACATGGTTCTCAGACATGCTGGTGATCCTTCCTCGGGGAAGAACTCAAAACTGTGGAAATGTTCTCAGAGAAATAGTTAAAATCTAGTTCCAGGGTTCTTAATCTGAGGAATAAAGAGCCCCTCAGGATATCCAAAAATAGATTTTCAGTATTCATTGAATCCTCTGAAATTGTCTGTAAATACTGTGTATAAGCAAAGCATTTTTCTGGGGGAGGGTTCCACATTGTCATCAGATTTACATTGGGGTCTCCCAAGATATTAGTGATGACTTACTTCAAAAGCTAATTTTTTTTTTTTTTTTTTTGTCTTTTTGTGAGATCGGCCGCACCATGCTCAGCCAGTGAGCACACCGGCCATCCCTATATAGGATCTGAACCCGCGGTGGGAGCACTGCTGTGCTCCCAGCGCCACACTCTCCTGAGTGCACCAGGGGCTTGGCCCCAAAAGCTAATTTTTAACTACATTTACTCAGAAGGCTTTCATGAGGACATTTATGACATGGGCAGATTCTTTAATAGGATAGTTGTAGTTTCATGTGGAACTCTTTTGTAAACTCCTGTTGCAGAGCAATGGCCGCACATACTGGTGGGTGTGCTGTGCCCCAGGTCTAGGTATGTTAAGGTGTTGGGGAGAGGGAGTTGCCACTTAAGATCTTGGTTCCCTTCTGCTGAAAGTACGTAAGCTTCTAGGTGTTCTGTAAGCATGAGGGGCTCCCATTCTTTCTCTCAGGGGCCCTGAAAGAGTTTTAGATAACCGTTTACATCACAGATACTGATCTTTTATTAATGAAATTGTACCAGTACTGGTGAACTTTTAATGGTTATTCTGAAAGTTATTATTAGTTACTTAATATGTCACTGAAATATTTTGTATTATTAAAATATGTATATATTTTGTATTATAAAAAAACTGTAGGGTTTCCATATTAATATTTTATTTGTGTTTATTTAGGTAAAGCACCATGCTTTAAGAAGTGTATAGCTTTTTGCCAAATTCTCTTCTTGTTAACTTCAGTCTATGAGTGTTGCTTTGGTAAAATTCTCTTTATACCAATGTGTATAAAACTCAGTTTCCAAACATTCTTTCTCCACAAGGCCACTCCATGCCCAAAAGAACCAAATAAAGAGATGATAAATGATGGAGCTTCCTGGACAATCATTAGCACAGATAAGGCAGAGTATACATTTTACGAGGGAATGGGCCCTGTCCTTGCTCCAGTCACCCCTGTGCCTGTCGTAGAAAGTCTTCAGGTGAGACCACTGTCACAAGTTGGCTTTTAACTCTTTGCAACTGTACTCAGCTATGACTGGGCATAATTTTATTTCATAGTGATTTCGATTTTTCTCAAAATCTTGTGATTTGGGGAGTTTGTTATTCATTTATTGATAAAAAGTGAAAATAGGAGGGAACATACATGCAAGAAAATTTAAATTTAAACCTACTTGTATGTTACCTTGAAATGTTTCTAGCTAGCTTTTAAATTATGCCATTAAAAGAAGTATTTTAATTACCAATTTTTTCACAAATGAAAGTTGAATGAGAATTTAAATTGTGTACTCAAATGAATAATGAAAAGTTTTCTTAATGTTCTGATTTTCTGTGAATTGCAGTTGAATGGTGGTGGGGACGTAGCAATGCTCGAACTTACAGGACAGAATTTCACTCCAAATTTACGAGTATGGTTTGGGGATGTAGAAGCTGAAACTATGTACAGGTACTTGATAAACTGTTTTCATCATCCAGAGGTTGTGAGGGGTGTGGGTGCATGAGATTCTTTTCTGACATTAATTGTAATGTATTAAGCAATCTTGTTTTAACTCTCATTTCTAAAATGTATCTTGCTTTCTAAAGTGCTTTTAAGTGATTTTTTTTTTCCCCTTCTCAGATGTGGGGAGAGTATGCTCTGTGTTGTCCCAGACATTTCTGCATTCCGAGAAGGTTGGAGATGGGTCCGGCAGCCTGTCCAGGTTCCAGTAACTTTGGTCCGTAATGATGGAATCATTTATTCCACCAGCCTTACCTTTACCTACACACCAGAACCAGGGCCACGGCCACATTGCAGTGCAGCGGGAGCAATCCTTCGAGCCAATTCAAGCCAAGTGCCCCCTAATGAATCAAACACAAACAGCGAGGGAAGTTACACAAATGCCAGCACAAATTCAACCAGTGTCACATCATCTACAGCAACAGTGGTGTCCTAACTACCGTCTTTTTGCTAGGACTTAACTGACTTGAGTGCGGCAAAAAGTTGACAAAAAAAAAAAAACGAACAATCTTTTGTGGTTTCTTGGGAAAACTTTTTGTACCAGGTGATACTATTCAAAAACACTGTTACCTGCAAGTGCTGATTTGAAATGCAGAAGCCACAGTAAAACAAACAAAAAACCCCACCAAAATGTACAAACTATTGGAAATAGAGTTTTTTAGCTTTTTGTTTGTTTGGTTGGTTGGTTGGCTGGTTTTTGTTTGGTTTTGTTTAAATGGGCAAAAAATAGATATGTGGCTGGAATAAAAGTTAAGCAAACTAGAATACACAGATCTAACATAGTTTTTATGGACCAAGGAACTTGTATAAGCTTTAGTGTAAAAGGTACATTTTCACCATACCTTTTTTATTTCACCGTATATAGTACACCTTGTTACCAAATAGGTTGTTCTTCTCCCCACCCCCCTTTGAGTTTTTTCTCTAAAGTACATTCAGGTTCCAAGCCTGACCATGCTTGTTTAATCTAATTCCCATACTCTTCCAGGTTTTTTTGGTCTAAGGCTGGAACTTTTTTTTTTTAAGCTGAAGTCTTATGACTTTTCATGAGTCAAAATTGTTTTGATTTCAGCAAGTTAAATCTTGTAAAGGCCTGCATTTTTCTTTTTTAAGATTATATGAAGTCTGTGCAAAAGCTTTAAAAAAATGCCTCTGCCTTGCCTGCAATACATGCGATGTACGTTAACTTAGTCTCTATTCTCAGACACTGTTGGTAGTTATTTCTGTGGTTTTTTTTTTTTTTTTTTCTTTTTTAAATGTATTTATAATGGTAAACCAAGAGGTTCTAACATTTACCTGAAATTCAATGTGGCCATTTAGTCATTAATGAGTTTATGGCACAGAACATGTTGGTATTTGAAGAGTTCTCTCCCCTTTTCTCATACATAAATACATCTCTGTGTTCCAGGATTTGTTCAGATTTTTCTCCCCCTCATAATCTTGTACATATCTTGTATTATGTGTAACTTAAACATTTTATTTTGAACTTGGAATGTTCCCAGTGATTTTGTTCAGCAGGGTGTTTTCTGCCTTGTTGGCAAATCATAACGAATATCATGAGAAGTATTGCTACCAGTTGGTAGATGGTCCCCTTATGCTGGAATGAGGAAAATCTCAGTAAAAGCATGCTTTATTGTCTTTCCTTATATTTTATTTTATTTTCGGGGTAGCCTAGACCAGAACATCATTGTACTCTTAAAACATAAGATGCTTTTATTAGAAGATCAAATAAAATAGCTGGAAGACAGTACTTTAGAAACAGATAGATGTAAGATTATAAAAATGCAAATGTAACTTATGTTTTCATTTCTCTCTGCTTTTTTTTGTCTTCCCTTCTCCAGTATTGAACATCTCCACAGATGTCTCCTACTTAGAAAACATTTCCTTTCCTTTCGGTTAAGATTTGGTTGCATTCAGGGTTGTGTGTTGGCCTTGCATGCAGATCTTGCCAGTTTTACACTGCTTCCTTCCATTCCTGCACTTTAGTGATGCCTTTGTTCGGTTTCTTAGAAATTGCAGTAGACTCATTGGGCAGTAGTTAGTACAGGAACCACATGTGTAATGTTATAGGACACTGTCTGGTAATACAATCATCCTTCTTAGAGTAAAAACTACCTCTAGATTGTGGTAAGCTTTTACTGTCCCATAAAACAGGAGCCACAAGTACCTTATGAATGCAAAACTGTAACTTCATACAGTACTTCCATACAGAACATTGTCTTTCTGGTGTCCTTGGCTATTTTGAAAAAGTTTCCATTAATAGACTTTTGAAAAATCATTATTAGTAGCATTTTTTTTTCAGCTTTGCTCTCTTCATCACTCACTCTTTTGCTCAGACTATGCCACTGTAAATAGTATTCCTAATATCTTTAAATTGCCTTTTCCTCAGTTTTTAAGGGGAAAGTCATTTGTAAAACATGTTAAGTGGTTTAAGCAAAGTTATTGGATTTTTTTCTTACTGGAAGCCTTTTTAATCACCCCCACCTCCTGCTGTGTTATACTGTATGTAGCCTTTTCTCTTTAAATCTGCTCCAGTCACTCATTTCTCTCTTGTAAACTAATCCTGCCTCATACCTTAAATCTGTTTCAGTGATCAAGGGCAGAACTCATTGTGGCCTTATCTTTTTTGGTTGTAACTGTTCATGGGCTTTTACTTACAAACTTGCTTATTTCTGAATAGTATTTATTCTTTCTGTTGAGTTGTGGAAGTAGTCATTACACAGTGCTTTTTGTTCAGAGCATGGACATGTTTTCAGTGCTGCTTTACTTTTAACAGGCCACAAATTTCCTCCACTTCCTGAGTTTGGTATTTAGTTAAGAAATCATATTAAATTGATAACAAATGAGATGCTTTTGAAGCACAAACTATTCCTTACCCAGCTTTGCAGCTCGAAATAATTTTTCAAGTTCATGGCTTGATTAATGCTTTTTAAAAGTTTATATCTTATTTTAGTTCTTTGGTTCTTCGAAATATGATAATTGAAATATTAGATTGTAAGCCCTTTTCCTGTTTTTTTTTTTTTAAAGTTCAAGAATGTACTTACACAGGCATTTTCCCCAGGCATTTTCCCCACCTCTTTTATGCCATTCTTATACCACAGACTGAAGATTGAAATGATATGTCTGTTGTAGCCTATTGTTTATCAGTAGTTCTTTTGTCAGCTGCTTTAAAAAAATATTTTCATGGATTTGTGAATCATTTTCACTATATAATTTATAGGAGCTTTGTCCTCCAGTTGTAGTAGAATATTTCCCTCCCCAAGTGATGGCATAACTAGAGATGCTGGTCATTTACCCTAATAAAGACTCTCTTCTTAGAATGGTGAATACTTCAGTTAAAGTATAGTATTTTTGATTTTTTAAGAATTCTGTTTTGGAAGTATATCTTATGCTCTCATGATTCTATGCAGTTTCTAAAAGTATGCATAGAAGCTGAGCCTGTGATCCAATATATTTTTACGAGTTCCATTGAATTTATCACATAGGTTGGAAAGGCAAGCTAAAGACTTTAAATGTAGAATGCCCTTTATATTTTGAATGATTTTAGAGTTGAACACTAGTATAATATTTAACCTGCTGCTGATTTTTCTTAAACCATGGCAACTAAAGGCATCTTCATTTATGAATTAATTAGTGAAATATTCGTCACTCCTACTGCACAGACTTATTTGCAGTCATAACTGGTAAGGTTTTTTGTTTGTGTTTTTAATGAAACTGGTACCATCTGTGCCCTCACAGAAAATTTCCAACACCATTTTTGAAAACTAACCTAACTGGTCATGTTAACCAGAAAATCCGTAGGGGCAGGGGGTTTCCTTCTTGAAACAAAATGCTTTTCAATTATTAACCAAGTTACTTACTTTGATTTCAAAAGCAGCTGTGTTTCTGATGAGTACTGAACAAATGTGTGTAATTTTCTGTGCCAGACTTTTGACTTCGTTTTTAAGCACTGTAACGTGGGATGGATGGTTAGAAACAATAATATATTAGGGTTTCTATTTAACCCTTTCAGGACTGAACTGTATCTCCTTTCATTAATTTTTCCCTGTGTTGTGATAAATGTTTGCCAGCATTCAGTACTGTGTTGGTCCAGATGTAGGTTTATATGCTCATTTTTAGCTTATTTCTTGTACCTTGCAGCATGCTCTACGCATTCAGTCCTTAAGGGGTTTATTTTACAAACTGTGCGCCTGTAAGGTTTATTAGCAATAAGATAGAAAATTGAGCAAGTTTATACCATAATTTTGTAGAAAAAGAGAATCTGCTCAGTTCCATATTTCATCCATGAAAAAACCTGCAATATGAGCAGTTTCAAGGAATAAATAAAAAGGAAATGTAAACCATTGTAAGTCTTTTGTTGGATGTGCCTGATACATGTATTATCGTCGTTGATTTCAGAATACTTCATAAAGACAAAATTAAATTATTTGTGTATTTACAATCTTACCTTGCCATCTACATGACATCAAAATATTGCTGTGCTAATTTAATTTCCTTTTAAACTATGTAGTGCTTTAAAAGAGAGAGTCTTTTTTTCTCTCTCCCATGTTAATGGGGAAATGGGATTTGTCACTGAAGGTGTGTATCTCCCAATTTCAGATTGTTCAAAGCTGATCTCAACAAAATTGGAGAGTATTATTTAGCAACAGCTTGCTTTTTCAATATAAGGTTGTCATTTGGTATGTATGGTATATAAAAGAACAAAAGGTTTGTGCTTTTCGGTGGGCTCTTAAGAAATGGGGACCAAGTTTTGTTTAATACGGAAACAATTCTAAAGGGGGAATTACATAGTTTTAAAATCATAACATGTTCAGTTTTTATCTGCCCTTCCACAGAAAGTATATGAGTAAAGTTAGGAGGATTTCGCTAAAGGCATCTTGCTATAAAAATATTGATTGTTAAATAGGAAACAATTTAGTTGGAATTTGAGTTATGAGGCCTCTAAAGTTTGAGATTGATAGTGGGTCACTTGCGTTAGAATTTAGGATGATAAGCTCGTACTTCTTGCAGTAAATGGTACATCCTAAGTTTCTAAGCAATCTTATAAAAGGTACATTAAATATATTGTCTTTTTTTGTTTGTTATTGAACCCCTGAGTGAGTTTCCAAATCTAGTAAAGTGAGTGATCATAGAAAGAAGTCTCCTCAGAAAAGGGAAAAAAAAAATCTAGAAAGGTAAACTAAAAAGGAAACCCTAAAAAAGTATAGTACAAATGAAGTGATTTACCTTGACCTAGAGTTAGAGCCTAAAAGCATAAGGCCAAGAGATAGAACTGTAAGCCACAAGCCCCGTCGGGACCTGTAAGTCATGAGTCTCTGGTAAGGATAAGCTGTGTGCCTGGCACATAGGTATTTGATAAAGAGTTTAGTTAAAGATGTCATGTTCACATGTGTACAAATCATGACCATTCTTGGTTTATAGAAAATGCAGGTAAAATATTCTCTAATACAGAAAAAGGAGGTTTTTTACTACAAGAAACATTTATACTAAATGCAGATAGGTTATTATGTAACTGTTGGAATTTACAGATTGTTTTGCTTTGGGGAGGTGGCACTTTAAAATGTGATGTTCTATGACATTTTAAAGGTAAGTATGAAGTGTAGATGTATCAGATTCTTTCTGGCATAATGAGTGTAGTCCCAGCTTTTCATTTCCTACTCCACTGCCCTACTCATTCATTACAGATGAATATACAGGTCAGTCATTTCTTGTTCCTTTACCTGTTTGATAATTTCTGCTGGTGTTGGACAGAGTACAGTCACCCTCCCCACCTTCATCATATAACAGAGGAAGGAGTTTGACTAGGTCATTCCGCTGTGGCCTATTGAGCTGATTTGAAGCTTTTCTTTTTTCCTGGAACTTTTTCTCCCTGCACGATTTGTTATTTGTTCTTCTTTATCTCTTCTTTTTTCTTCTTTATCACACAACTCAAAGTGAATGGTTCTGGTTTTCTCCTGCTTTTTAAGCCTTCACAACTAAATTTTTAATGTGGTGTTCAGTTATTTAGATGATATAATGGAAAGTTTTGGGAAAAAAATTGTGACTTTGAGGACAGTTGGATGATAAGTATAATCACTGAAACTAGAATCCTGGGATTGATTGTATTGAGAGAGCAAAGCTGGGAACATGCTGGCAGCTAATAGATTCCAAAGGTGTAAATGGTATGGTCTTTGGGAAGAACTGTAGGTAAAGGGTATTGGAATATGCAGCTGTTTGTCTGGAAGCATGAATATTCATCCCTAACATTTATGGGATCCATCCCTGATGTTTATCTTCTAGTCCCTAATGGTGAGAATTGGTTAATACACAACTAGGAATTTTTAAATGTCCAGTAATATTCCAGGTTCTGAGGCCAATTAGGGTGTGGCTGTTTTCTGAAAATTTCTAAAGGCTTATGTTAGTCAACTCAGGCTGCCATAACAAAATACCATAGTATTTTGTTAAAAATTTCTAAAATAACAGAAATTGGTTTTCTCATTATTCCAGAGGTTGGAAATCTAAGATCAAGGTGCAAGCACAGTAGGGTTCTAGTGCGGGCTCTCTTGCTGGCTTGCAGGTGGTCCCCTTCTTACTGTGTCCTCACATGGCAGAAAGAAAGTGACCTGTTTTCTTATAAGGCCACAGTCTTTTCAGGTTAGGACCCTGCCCTTATGACCTCATTTAATCTTAGTTACTTCCTAAAGACCATATCTCCAGATACAGTCACATTGAGGTGTTCCTAGAAATCTTCTAGATACAGTTTAAATGATGAATAGGATGTCTACCTTTACGATGGTATTTGTATTTCCTGCATTTTCAGACCTAGTTGAGGTATCTTAATAGCTAAGATGATAAATGAACTTGGGCTAAGGGACAAGGGGAAAGGCAAGACTGAGGGAGAAGTCACTTTGATGACCACTTATAAGTTGTTTTATGGCTTCCTGCATTTTCAGACCTAGTTGAGGTATCTTAATAGCTAAGATGATAAATGAACTTGGGCTGAGGGACAAGGGGAAAGGCAAGACTGAGGGAGAAGTCACTTTGATGACCACTTATAAGTTGTTTTATGGCCGTTATTGTATCCTCACTAAAATCCTATTGTGAGGCTGCCACACAGAAAAGGAACCAGAATACCCAATTGAGAATTTAAAAGGGGATTTTTATTGGCCAGCTGGCAACTGTCCCTCCAAGAAAGTCTTGGAAGGGAACAGCCCTGAGTTTAAGTTTAAGGGGTCTTTTAAAGTCACATAGTCACACAGGCAGAAAATCATATAGTCACACACTTATAGTTATCATATA